AGGCCTTATCGCTGTTCCACTGGTCCACATCGGGCTGCCCCAACGGAGTGACAGCTACGAATTTCCCGAGGTCGCTGTCGTAGTAGTTGATCTCCTGCCGGTCGTAGATGTCCCGGTCCAGGAGTCGCACCTGCTGCGTCCCGTTGAAGAAATGGCACTCGTGCTTCGTCTGGAGCAGGAAATGGGCTGCGGGGGGGGGGGTGGAGCAGAAAGAAGAAAGCCCTCAGGAGGGACTCCAGGGCCCATGGTTCCCAGAGGCTACTAGAGGAGGGGCGGAGCGACGGGAAGGCGGAGGGGCGGGAGACCTGCTGCGAGGGACTGCCGGAAGGCGCCCCCTGGAGGAGGGATGGGGAACTGTCGGTCCCAGCGGGATTCCCCCTTGTTGGGGGTCTGGAGGGGGGGGAGGAAAATGAGGGAGGGGGAAAAAGAGCTTTCTGAGGGACCCCCTCCATCTCCCCAGGGTGGAAAAAGGCAGGCAGAAGTTCAGCCGGTCCAGGCCTCTGTCTGTCTGCAGGGAACACTGGATCCCGGTGGGGCCTCTTTTCCCCCCCCATCCCAAACCGGCAGGAAATATAGGGGAAGGGAAGAGACCCCCCCTCTGGGCTGGAGGGAAAATAATATCCAACCTCCTCTCTCCCTCTTCCTTTTGGGAGCAGAAGAGAAGGGGGTCACAATAAGGATACCCACACCCATGCTCCTGGGCTCTCCCCGCCCTTCAAGCCCCCCCTTCCCTTTTCCCCCCTCCCCCCATCTTCAGCCCCACAAGCTGCCTTTGGGTGCTTTTCGAGGCCTCTTTCCTGTCCCCCTCCCCAAAAGACCCCCCTGCAGCTCCGCAAGACCACCTGAAAGGGAGGGGCTCCAGCTCCCTTCACTAAAGGGGGAGTTTGGAGGAGCAACTCAGACCCCCCCCCCAATATCCCTCCCAATAGAAGCGGAGAAGGCGAGAGAGTGGAAGGTTTTTAGTCTTGGGGGCTGCAACTTCAGGGGAGCGTTTCATGCCAGGACTGGAGGGGGTGTGTGGACTTCCTTTTGTGACCCCCCCCATGACTCTTTTCCAAAAGGCAGCTGGACTTTCCTGGGTTTTCCCTTGAAGACGTTTCGCTTCTCCTCCCAGAAGCTTCTTCAGTTCTGACTGAATGGTCGAAGATGGAAGGATGGACATTCCTTGCCATCATTTTGAAAGTCGGTCACTGATTCTCTGAGGGACGTTGAGGACCCCCAGGGGGTTTATCTGGACCTTCAGAGTCCCCTAAATTGGGGGGGACAAAGGGGTGGGGAGCCTTCCTGGGGCTGCTGAAAGGACCCCTTTTTAGGCAGAAGATGGGGGGGTCCTTTCCCTCCCCCTCTGTTGAGGGAGGGCTGCTCAATTTTGATCTAGACGGCTTGGGGGTCTGTGGATCCTGGGGAGAACGGAACCCCCAGATTCCCTAGTTATCCCCCAAATTTTCCTTCCCACCAAATTAACTCCTACTGGCAGCCCTCTTTTCTGTCACCCTGCAGCC